TGGGCGCGCAGGGCTGGGGACCCCGCCCCCGGGCACGCGGCCCTTGGAGGGGACCCCGGGCACGCGGCGCATGGGGGGGGCCTCCGTCCCCGGGCACACAAGTGTCTCCACCCTCTGGCGCCCGGCGGGTGAACGGCCATGCCCCCTGGCACCTGGCAACCTCCAATGGTTGGGGACCACTGCTGTAGGTGAAGCTGAATCAGTGTTGACAATATGGGGACCCCGCCCCCGGGCACGCGGCCCTTGGAGGGGACCCCGGGCACGCGGCGCATGGGGGGGGCCTCCGTCCCCGGGCACACAAGTGTCTCCACCCTCTGGCGCCCGGCGGGTGAACGGCCATGCCCCCTGGCACCTGGCAACCTCCAATGGTTGGGGACCACTGCTGTAGGTGAAGCTGAATCAGTGTTGACAATAGTAGGGACTTCTGCAAACTTTCTCTACTATAGATAGGACCAGTAAAGGCTTTCCCCATGAGTTTTAATGTGTTACATTTATATTTTTATGGTCAAAAATAGAGGGGGCTAAAATTAAGTTAATGTGTTTATAATATAACAGGATGTCACCTAAACTCTAGTCTAGTAACAGGAAATATGAGAGCGCTACAATTCACATAAAAATTTAAGCTTTGAGAGGCCTTGCTACTGATCATTGTCAGTGGAATTGTAATCTCTGAAACGGAAAACAATTAGGGTATGTCTGCACAGCAGGGCTAACCTTGAACTAAGCTATGCAATTTGAGCTACGCTAATTGCGTACCTTAAGTCAAAAAAGCTAATTTTGAATTTGGGAATGTCTACACAGCACTTACTTCAAAATAGAGCACTCTTCCTCGACTTCCTATACTCGTACTATGAGGGTTGCAGGAGTCGGAGTAAGAAGTCCTCCAACTCAACATTATTTCTACATTAAGTCAAAATAACTGCTTGTGTGTAGACATGGATGATGTTATTTTGGAATAATGTCCGGTATTCTGAAATAATGCTGCTGTGTAGACATAGATCAGTTTAGGCCAGTAAGGCTATCCTTGCTTGGTGCTTTTGATGTTTGCTAAAGTTAATATCTGTCCTCTGACCTGGTTTCCTCAGTGTGTTTATTTTTCTTTTACTGGAACTTAGGGCAGTTGCAGGTTTTATGTAGGAGTTAGCTTATGGCTTCAAACCAAAAGATCAAAAATTGCAAACCAGATTCCCCCAAATCATGGTTTATTTTCAAAAGATTACATTGTGGGTCCTCTTTAAAAATTCCCCTTGTTCCAGTGTGAATGTTGCATCCTTCCCAAATTTCTAAAATAAGGTCATTCTGGTTTCCTGAAGGAATTTTTTTGTTTGCTGATGGTGCAGCGCTTCCAGCTTCTTCCCAAACTCAAAATTAATTCTATGATTTGCCCCATTGCTGGGTCTGTCTTGTCCTTCCTGCTAGGGGTTCTTCATCTCCTTCTCCCACACAGGCTACAGCCCTAATTGGATTGCTTTATCCCGGGAATGGGGAAAAACAGCCATTCAGAAGGATTTTTTCCCCATGGATAGGCTGCTTGTGTCTTCATGAGATTGGCTCCAGTAGGAGCCAAATACACATTATTAATTGTGAATAGTAAGAGTTGGCAAAAAGGCTCATGCGCAGGTCTCTGCTACTGAGGATGCAAAAGGGAGCTGGCCCAGTGATCTCAAGGTAGCACATCAGAGTTCAACAGTAAGCTGAAACAAACTCAAAATGCTGTGGTTACAACCAGCCATTCTAGTGCCTGTCTGAATCTGTAACAAAGGACTATGACACAGATTCTAGAATTGCCCAACTCCATAGAGCAGGGGCCATCTGCAGCCCGAGTAGTTCCACAATCCAGCCTGCACACGGCTGCTAGCATGAGTTGCTGTGGCTCTGGGGGCTGCCCATACCCTTCCCCCAACTACAGCTCCTGCCCCTGCTCTGCCCTCTCCCCCCAGTGCAACCCTTCCCTCAAGCCCCCTCTTCTGAGTGACATAGCTTTAGGGATTACTGGGGGCCCTAGTATGGGGCGACATCAGCAATCTGTGTATCTCAGTTTCCCTGCAGCTTCCACTGCCACAGTGAGTATGGAAGGGTGACTTCAGCTGCAGCCTGCCCAGGGCACTCCAGGCTTAGTATGGGGAACCCCCCCAGCCACTCCAGGGCCCCCCAAAGCACAAGGGCAGCTGCACCAAACCGTCCTACAGATGGGATGGCTCAGCAAATACCTCTCTGGGCCACAGGGACGGGCCACTCTAGCCTCGCTGCGCTGCCTGTGAAAGCACCAGGGTGTGTGTGTGTGTGAGAAATCTCATGGGGGGGATGCTGGTGGGGCTGGGAGACAGGAGTTT